TCATGTAGTGCTTCGGCGTAATTTAATGGTTCTATATTAGTCTCTTCAGGGATTCTATCGTATGATTCTCCCAAGAGCATAAACCTTTGTGGTTTTCTAATAACTCTACCACGACGACGACTAGCAACTACATGATTTGCTACATCTTGAACTAAATTATGAAAATTCTGAAGTACTTCCTCCACAATGTCAGGTTGCGCGACATTACTCCCACTACGTTGTGGTAGCGAGATGTCTTGAGTCTGCTTTTGAGCAACCTCTAGAGCATCCTCTTGAGCAACCTCTTTTCGATCGACATTCCTCCCACTATGTGGATGCAATGGTATGTCAACAATTGTTTTAGGTAGTTGTGTTGATGTTTCATTAGTAGGTATTCATTTGCTTAGTTCCTGTAACACAAGTTTACTTCTAGGAACATGGTTAATTAAATAGTCTTGTTCCAGAAACTTGGCATTTGTTGAAACAATTACCTTTTGTTCCTTAGGATAATAAAATAAACCTCCTTTAGTTCCTTTTGGATATCCAATGAAAATGCACACTTCTGTCCTTGATTCCAACTTACTTGTTTTCCCTTTTAATACATGTGTTGGACATCCCCAAACTCGAATATGCCATAGACTAGGCTTGCGCCCATTCCACAATTTGGATGGGGTTAAAGGAACATATTTGGAAGGAACCAAATTCAGAATGTAATTTGCAGTTTCTAAGGCATATCCCCAAAAGCTAAAAGACAAATCTGAATAACTTAACATTGATCTAACCATTTCCAAAAGAGTTCTATTTCTTCGTTTTGCCACACCATTTTATTGTGGTGTTCCTGGGGGAGAATATTGAGATGTAATGCCCGATTCTGATAAGTACTTAATGAATTCTGCCGAAAGGTATTCACCACCATGATCTGATCGTTTGGATATGTTTACCATGTCGCTTTTCCGTTTCTATCTTGAATTCTTTGAACCTCTCAAAGCATTCAGATTTGTGGCGCAACAAATAAATGTATCCATATTTTGAGTAGTCATCTGTGAAAGTCACAAAATACTCAAAAAACCCCTCTTGCTCGTATATTCATAGGACCGCACAAATCAGAATGAATTAATTCTAACTTATTACTGGCTCTATTTCCTTTGGAAGGGAAACGTCTCTTTGTCATTTTACCTTCTAAACAAGATTCACAGGTTGGTAGTGCCTCCACTTTCAATGAACTCAGAGGTCCATTAGAAACCAACCTTGAAATCCTATTTATTTTGATATGACATAGACGTAAGTGCCATAAGTAAGTTTGACTCAATTCAGAAATACGTTTTCTTTTATAAGAAATATCAATATTATTTAATTCATTATGGTGTAGCATGTCATGGGAGACTTCAAATACAAAGAGATGATGTATTTTAGGAGCACTATGGATGAATTGCTTATCATACTTAATAACAACACAATTATTTGCAAATAAAACATCATAACCAACATCCATTATTTTTGAAACTGAAAGCAAATTCCTTCTTATCGAAGGTACATACAGAACATCTTTTAAAAACAGAATTCTGGAACTACTAAAAGAAAAAGAGATATTTCCTATTGCTAGGACTGGTGTTGGTTCCCCATTCGCCTGAAAAATACAAACTTCATTCTCACTTAGCCGCCGCGTTTCCTGAAACACCTGCAAAGAAGTGCAGACATGGTCAGTGGCTCCTGAATCTACAGCCCATAATTGGGTAGAAACAGCTGCTAAAAAGGTTTCAACGACATTTAAACAAGAATTACCTTTGTTCTTCATTTTGGCTGGATAGTCAGGGCATTGCCTCTTGTGCTGACCAGGCTGCTTGCAGTGGTAGCACTTGCCCTTAGGCTTAGCCACACCACCTGTAGCACCTCCAGGTGACACAACCTTGCACGACTTCTTCTTCTTCTTTTGGGATTTAGCCGGTTTAGACAAAGAAGCGACATGTTTGCCCACCATGTATGCTACAGAGGGAGGAGGTTGCTGTTTGATAATGGATTCTGCCGCTGTCAGTTCATTCAACAATTTCGCAAGAGACAAATCCATCTTGTTCATATTATAATTCAAGAGAAACTGTTGAAAACTCTCCGGCAGAGTCTGTAGGTTCATCTCAACCTGAGATTCCTTATCAATAGCAGAGCCAAGTATCTCCAGCTAATTCAGATAACTCATCATGTTCAGCACATGATCCTTGACAGGTGATCCTTCAACCATTTTGGTGGTCAAGATAGCCTTCATGGCAGTCTGCTTGGCAGCACGATTTTGCTCTTCGAACATCTCTTTGAGAGATTCGAGCATATCGTAAGCAGTTTCATAGACTGATGTTGATGCTGCAAGACATTCGATATTGAGGCAAGAATGTAGCACCTTGCCATCTCATCAGCCTTGACCCATTTCTCATAGGCCTTAATCTCCTCATCAGTAGCATCTGCTGGTTTAATGGGGAATTCTTCAACCAACACATATTTGAAACCCTCAGATGTTAGAACAATATCAAGGTTTCATTTCCAGTCCACATAGCTAGGACCTTCCAGTTTGCTTTGGTTCAAGATAGAGGACAGAGGATTGAAGTGAGACATAGTTAATCTGAGAGATATTTAAAATAGATCATTAGTAACATGTTCTTTAAAAAATAAAAAAATAAAAAATAACAAAACAAGACACATATAATCATGCTAATGAACAATTAGAATCGATAGGGAAACTTAACTGTTCAAGCAAATATATGAGCAAGTTCATATATATAATACCACTTAAACAATACAAGTCCAACTCAGTTAGAAAGTAATTTGTGAAGTTTAGTCAGGTATATATATTGTATGTTGTTCATTGATTCAACATGCAACTTAGTTGGAAAGTTAAAACAAGTCATCAAATCAAAAGACAAACATAACAGTATCAAAATATACAAGTTTATCCGATGAGGAAGAAGACCTATGTCAACATATAAACTCTTATAATAGTTGTTAAAATCATTTATTAGAGGTAGGAATGAACCCTTACAACTCTGGAATACAAAACACTTTTTTTTTTAAACAACAAAAAAATGTTCATCAAAAGTACATCATGATATAAACAGATTTAATCAAATATGTATCAAAATCATGGACTCTTATTACATAATCAGTTATATGTAAGAAGACTCGTGATACCAATTGTTAGAATATGCACAGCGAAAGCATTTTTCAGAATCACAAACTTACATAAAAGCATAATAATGTAATCTAAATAATTTGTGAAACTCTAACCTTTTGTAGCTTTCACACAACTCGTTCAGGGACCGGGACTCCAGAATTGCAGTCTTCTACTAATTCCTGACCAACTTTCTTAATAAAGTCTTGTGTGGGCAAGAAATTTTCAGAAAAAAGATATTATTTCCTTGAGAACCACCACCCCTATTTATACTTTTCAGTACAAGGGAAAGGTTTGAAAGATAAAAATGTTTCTAGTTATAATTAATGGTCATTAATAGTCATTAAATATCTTTAGGTGTATTTGGACACTGTTAAGTGTATCCAATAACCATGATCAATAGTCATCAACAACCATTAAATACCATTAAGTGTATTTTGACATGGTTAAGAGTATCTAACAACCATGATCAATAGTTATCAATAACCACTAAATATCATTAAGTGTATTTAGAAAGTCATTAAACACTAAGGGTAATCAACAACCATTAACACCATTAATAGCCACTAATAACCATTAAACACTATTATTTGTTTCTTTCATCTTCTAAGGAAATAAAACATTGCTGTAATTTCTTTTTTCTTCTTTTAAGGAAAGAAAAAGTTTTTCTCTTTTAAACTAATAAAAGTCAAAAACAATTTATTCCTAAGCTGAAAAAAACATACTAATAGTCCTTTTCTTTTTCGAACTCGATCAATTAATCAGGCATAGTAGGGACCACAAATTTATTAGCAGAGGCTTCCAATTATAATATTTAATTCGTAAAAAACATGAATTAACCATATCATAATAAATCACAGATTGTACTACTAAAAATCTGCAACTGCATTCCTCTATTTAATTACAATTTTTTTTTCGTTACAACTTATTTAACTCCCCATGTTAGAATTACCGACACCAATCAATTAAATTAAACTTCTGAAAAATTTAATCCATTGATTAATTTAATCCTTTATCTTTATGCTTAAATTAATTCACGTGAAGGATATACATATATAATCCACCTGCAGGGTTTTCACGTGACTACTTATAAGCAACCATAAAGGGGTGTCTTCTTTCTCATATCCGAGATATGGTTCTATCAGCTAATTATTAATTCATGAATGTAATTTTTATTATCCAATCCATTAGGAATTTTTTTGACTCATCATAGAGTCTCACCTTTTAATAGATGAAAATAATAAAGCAAACAACACAGATCTTAATAACTACATCAAGATTAAGAGTATAAGCTCATGTATTGGACTAGAGATATTATTTATTGAAATTCAGAACCTAAATGCATATCTGAATTTGGTCCGTTCAATACATGCAAAATGTACTAACACAAGAAGTTGGAATTTTACCATTCCCATAATTAAGATTGAATTACTTTTAATCTTGTGGTACAATCATCAAGATGCTTGTCCAATTTCATCTTTGATTGTGAACATTTAATTTATGACTTATAAGAACCGACAATTTTAATCTTCCGCGTATGAGTTAAGGAACTCCATACCCAAAAATTGTATACTATATAAGCAATGGACACACATATAAACACAATGATCTATTCAAACAAAAACTTTATTGTAACAATTAACATAAAATGTAAAGTCTTTATGAAGGACTAAAATCAATACTATAACTCAACCATATGGTTAATAGTATATCCCAACATGAATATCTCACCAACAAAGGTTGTTTGGAACACAACACCTCTTGAAGCTTGGAATGGTAAGAAGCCTCGGGTAAGCCACTTAAGAATCTTTAGTTTTATAGCATATGCTATGGTTAATTTTCACTCTAAGCTTGATGAAATATCTAGAAAATGCATTTTGTTGGCTATAGTCTTCAATCCAAAGCATATCGTCTGTATAATCCCATAAGTGTCAAAGTGATTATAAATAGAAATGTTGTGTTAAATGAGGATGCAAGTTGGAACTTTAATTCTGAGAACATGATATCCAACATCCGATTGCTATCTACTGATGAAGAACATGCAGTAGATTCTGGAAATTCAACCAATTTTTTTCCTTTAAGTTCATCTGTTAGCTCATCAATTGCACCATCAACAACTTTTGCACCTGACGTGTCTTCTGTTGAGCCGATTCCACTTAGAAGATCAACAAGGGGAAATAAATTGAATCCTAAGTACTCTAATAGTGTAAATACTTCTTTTCAATTTGTTTTGCTTGTTTTAGATCATGTTTGTTATGAAGAAGCAATAGAACAATTTGAATGGAAGGATGCTATGACTGAAGAGATTCAAGCAATTGAAAGAAACTCTACATTGGAGTTAGTTGATGCACATGAAGGAAAGAATGTAATAGGGCTCAAATGGGTGTTTCGAACAAAGTACAATTATCATGGGAGCATTCAAAAGCATACAACTCGGCTCGTGAAAAAAGGATATTCACAACAACAAGGTATAGATTTTGAAGAAACTTTTTCTCCTGTTGCACGATTTGAAACAATGAGAGTTCTTTTGGCTTTAGCTGCACAATTATGTTTGCTCGTGTTCAATTTGATGTGAAGTCCGTTTTTTGAATGGTGATCTGGAAGAAGATGTTTATGTTTCACAACCTCAGGGCTTTGTTATTAATGGCAATGAGAACAAACTCTACAAGTTAGAAAAGCTCTTTACGGGCTGAAGCAAGCTCCACGTGCGTGGTATAGTAAAATTGAGTCATTCTTTCAGGATAGCATATTCACAAGAAGTGAAAATGAGCCAACTTTGTACTTGAAGAAACAAGGTAATGGAGAATTTTTGGTGGTTTGTCTCTATGTTGATGATATGATTTACTTTGGTTCCTCAAAGTCTTTAGTTAATGATTTTAAGTCCAGTATGATGAGAAACTTTGACATGTCTGACCTGGGCTTACTGAAATATTTCTTGGGGCTTGAGGTGATCCAAGATAAAGATGGAATTTTTATTTCTCAAATGAAATAAGTAGAGGATCTTCTGAAAAAATTCCATATGATGAACTGTGAAGCAGAAGCTACACCGATGAATATAAATGAAAAGTTGGAGCGTGCAGATAGAAATGAGAAAGCAAGTACAAAATTGTATAGAAGTTTAGTTGGTGGCTTGAATTATCTAATGCACACTAGACCTGGCAATGCACTTTTTGTTAGTGCTATGTCCAGATTATTGCAAAGCCCCACAAAGCAACATTTTGGTATTGTGAAACGAATTCTTCGTTATGTGGCTGAAACAGCTGACTTTGGTATATGGTATTCTAAAGCACCAAATTTCAAATTGGTTGGCTTTACTGACAGTGATTATGAGTCTTCTTGGATGACCAAAAAAGCACTTCTGGAAGTTGTTTCAAATTTTGTTTCAGAGCTGTGACATGAAGTTCAAGAAAGTAGGAGATAGTAGCTTTGTCGACATCTTAGGCAGATTATACAACAGTAAGTTTAGCAGCACGACAAGCTTTATGGCTCCACAAACTACTTGGAGATTTTAGTTACGAGCAAACGGAGTCTACTGAGATTTTTTCTGATAGTAAATCAGCAATTGCTATGGTTAAGAATCCCTCCTTTCATAGGAGAACTAAGCACATTGATGTGCAATATCACTTTATCCGAACTTTGGTAGCTAATGGAAGAATAGTGGTGAAATTCTGCAACATAAACGAGCAAGTAGCGAATATATTTACGATGTCTCTTCCTCAGGCTAAGCATGAATATTTCAGGTTGAAGTTGGGAGTGTGTGATTTTGAATCAAGGGGAAGTGTTAGTTGACGCATTCAAAAGTTCAATGCTATTAGTGGCAGCACTTTTAGGAGTCTTTAATATGTCCATTGTACAAGCTCCAGGAGTCCTAATTAGTTTATGTTAGTCAGTTAGTAGGTCATGCGTTAGTGATAAACTAGTGCCCTAATATTTCTCTATGTTTGTTCCCTTCCAAGTACTATTTAAAACTTATAACGCTGTATCTTGAAGCATAAGAAAAGATTAAGTATTTCACTCTGTTTCTTAATATCTTATTCGAGTAGTTGTTCCTCTCTTTTTCCAACAAGAAAGAGACAGATGATCACCAAATGACACACATACATTACATTTGCCCACATCAGCATGATCGTTGTTGTTCGTGTGATTTCAATTCAAAAAATTTAACAGTTATTCTTGTAACATACCGCACCTAGAAACAACTATAAAGAGTTTAAAATATGAAAATATTGATTTTTTGGAAAGAATAAAGAAATCTGGAAATTTTGTCTAAGTTAAAAAAGTGAGTTTTGGCCATTTTAAAAATACCATAACTCCTAGCTCATGAGGATTTAGGAGAGCTCTTGATATGGTTGGAAATACCTTGGAGATATCTTTCCAACGCCGCCGAGATTGCATGATTTCGACATCGTATGAGTGAGATATGCCTTTTGAAAGTTGGGCTGTTGGATTGAGGAAACTCCCAAACTGGATTTAGGGAAGGGCAAATTAGTCTTTTCTCTAATTAATTTCCTAATTTGATTTTAGGGATTTATTGGGGTAAAAACATGAGTTATTCAGTTTGGAGAATTGAGAAATACGCTTAGGGCTTGGAGAAGAGAGAAAAGAAGAAAGAAAGGGAGAAAAAAGGCAAGAATTCGTCAAGATCATCCAAGCTTGCGAGTGGAATTCGTCGGGGGTGATCCCTATTAAGGTATGTGAGATCTTTTCGTGTTGGGTTAGTTCACCCACACTCTCATCTTATTTCTATTCAGAGAATGGTGGTAGATTGAATGAAAAGTTAGGGAGTTCTTGAAGAACTTGTTGAAATTCGTTAAGTTCTTGTTGGTTGAATTGTTGATGCTTGGGGGTTGAGTTGATTTATGTTTCCGGGATGTTTTCGAGTTAGATTGGTAGTGTATTGAGGTTTCAATTGATCCTAAGTGTTTGGGGAAGGAACTAGGGAAATTGGAGGGATTAGAGATGAAAAACGGAGAAGAAAAATTGAGAACACCTGGGTAATGGCGATGGCGTGCCGTGCCAGCCAGCGCACCCCAAAGCAGCCTCTGAAGTTTTGGCCTT